ACTATGCGTTAGACAATAAAATAAATGCGGAATAAGTATTTTGCTCCCAATATTCACAATGGATAAGTCGAGTGATGACTATCTTGATGTAATTACACAACCCATAAAATAAATAATGATTATCTATTAAAGTTATCTGTTCTTCTTTCTAATTAAAAAATAAAAACATTAAAATAATAATGGATAATAAATTAGTTAAGATTTAGGAATGTATAAATGTCAAAATAAAATAAAAGAATGGTCGAGTAATCACTCACCTGGTGTCATTTCACAACCCATAAGATTAATCCATGTTTCGAATATCAACTTTCAATGTTAAGATGTGCTTAAGAATTTTAGAGCATTTTATTGCATTAAAAAAATCAGTTGTGGAGATTAAACACGAACGTTAAATCCAAACGGTTATAATAGACAAGAACGTTTTTAATATATAAATTCTAATATACCCATATTTGTATTATTTTTTTAACGCTTTAATTTTTTGAAATGTTTGATCATAAAATTTCTTCACAATACAACATAACAACACTCTTTTCAATATACATATATATATATGCATGTTTAATCGCACAATGTTAAATTTGCTTATTCAAGCTAGAAGTTATGGTCGAATTAATAAAATAATTTTCTAGTCTTTGATCAATCAATCTATGGAAGTTTTCATAAATTAGTTAATTAGATTAATTATGTTCCCACTTATAAAGATAAAATCGCATTATCTAAGAAATCCTATTAACAGGTTGACAAATCCTATAAGAATTCCAATTAATTATGGACGTTTATACTTATCAATGTCTTCGAATTTTATTTTAAACAGAAACTAATAAGTTGACTTTTGCTTTTATCCTATTACGTATAAGATATTTGGTAAGAATCAAACTCTTCATATTAATTTTGGAATATAGTTAGATTAATTTTTATTCGAATCACAAAAACTGAAGCATCTAATCTTGCCAAATAAGCTTCCGAAGCGTGCGAGCCAGCTATTTAAGCTCAACACGTTTTCAAATCTATATTTATATAATAAGAATTAACATTTATCCAAAATAGTAGGTCAAATTATGGTCAATGTCGGATTTGCATTAAATATTTTCCAAAACTGGTAAGTTTTTGTCCTTTTCACATTTATCATTAATTATGTTTTTTCACACTTCTCATTAATTATGTCATTTTCACACTTCTCATTAATTATTTTATTTTCACACATCTAATTAATTCATTAATTACGACATAATTATCATAAATCATTCTATCTGAGCTTTAATCATTAAAATGTATAGCGGTCTGTTATGAATTTATCTCATTGATATTTCCATGAAGCGTTCTATTTTTTGGTAACCACTCTATATCAATAACCGGATATTTGGTTAATGATAGCACACGTCTTTATTTCAATGAGCGGATATTCTTTGACATTTAATTAATCTGAACTGATTGCCTTGACTTTTCAATTTTTAAAAACTCTTTTTTTAAATATTTTGGCTTAAGATTCGGATTTCATTATACAAGTCATCGGATTGTTTGAATGAAAATGAATGAAAAGAATACCAAAAATAGGTAGTCTTATTCATATAACTAATCCTAAAATATTAGTTTGTTCACCAAAAAGAGACAAATCCTAAAAATCCTAAAATATTAGTTTGTTCACCAATCCTAAAATATTGGTTTGTTCACCAAAAAATCAGTTTGATTTTTAGGATTTGTCTCTTTTAAAAATATTAGTTTGTGATAATAAGGAGTTACCAAATAATCAAACTCATAATATTGTGTACAAGACAGTTTTTAATAATATATGATTGTTACCGAACTTTTTATGATTCAACAATGTTCCTATGTATTTTAATGATTTCAATTTCGATCCTAATGCACGTGAGATTATATTATTCTTTCAAATGTTACATCCCGTGCATCGCATGAGTTACGTACTAGTTATATTAAGGAGGGATATGGTATTTTGTGGACCTGAGTTTTGACGACTTTTGCTCAATATCCAAAAATAGGCACTCTGACTCAACAGTAAATAAACATAGGATTTGAATGTATGAACATACTTTACATCATAAAGCGTTGATAAAACGTTTGGCCTAATTGATCAAGGTTGATAAAATGTTGGCCTAATTGATATAAATTGGATAGGTTGATTGGCCAATTATACATTTTCTATCCTATTGATATACAACACGTGTATGATTACGCTCTTATGGATATGTGTCACCATTAATTTAAAGAAATTAAACAAAAACTTTAAAATTATTTTGAAATAAGAACATTTTCTGTTTCAACGAAAATTTTATACTGTTACTACGAGTTGTACTTGTATTTATTTTTTCCAAAGGAGACAAGTAGTTGTTTATATTGTTTTCTCTATAAATGACACAAATGCGAATAGTATATCTGCTTAAAAAATGTGTTTAATTCATTAAATGCCACTGATGCTAGAAGGCTATCCATTTTTTTCCTTTTCTAAAAAATTGAAGAAAAACTCCGAACAAAAAAATAAATGGGCTCACAATGTTTTGTTGGGATTGATGAGTTTTTGCCTTTATATTTTACCCAAAAGTTGTAGTTTTGTGGCTATAATAGTAAACTTCCAACAACTAATAAGGTGTAGCTAAAGATAAATAGATACGCATTTTAATAAATATACATACTTTTAAATTAAATTGATGTACTTTGAAAAACAACATAAATAAAAGTTTAACATTTTGTAACATATATATGTATGTTTATTTTTTTTAAGAAAAAAGATGATACCTCATAGTATAAATATGCATTTTTATTCAATACACCATCGCGGACCTAATAATTAGACGCACATTCAAATAAAAATTTGTGGAAACAGAATAGCCAATGAGTGAGTAGCGTTAAGAGGAGGGCAATGTAGTCCTATTAATTGCGCCAAATAATTTCTGATTCTGTTTGTACATATATCTGTATTGTCTTCATTTACATTACTGTCGGGAAAATTAAATGTCGCCCACATATTGTACTTGAAAGTGTATTAATCTCTTATACAACGACGTGAAACTATATACTATGATTATATGTTAGTGCTACGTGAATTCGAATGTATATTATTGGAGCTACTTTATTCTTGCAATCAGTGAGCACATATTACTATAGTATCAATTTCAAGGCACTTAGGAAAGGTTACAAAAGTAATTTTGATCACAATGAAAAATATTCAATTTTGAACAAATTTAAAAAATAATGCAATCAAATAAATATACCTGGCAGACTTCAATATTTTACCATCTTACCAAATTTTTCTAAGAATACAGCATTACAGGTGCATTATTAGTTCATTGGTGTCAATTTTCACGTGCTGCCTGATTTAATAATGTGTTCATGCAACTAATCCTGCTGCTTTACTATTATTTAATCACAATTTCTTATTCATCGGGAATGTCACACAAATCTACTTTAAGCAACAAATTTTCCCCAATTATTCTAAAATTGGAAAAGATTCAATAGCAAGTGAGGTATCATAATTCATAACTGATCATTGGGTCCCTTCCACATTGTCCACATGTTGGCCTTTCTGTGATACTTTAAAAAAGATAGCATCTTGTGAGATAAATTCATAGAAGTTTGATTTATGTATAGGTCATTGTATATTTGTAAGCTTGACATCGTATCGGTCTTGCGAGATCTATTGTCTTAACCGAGCAGTCTGCAATTATAATTTGATTCGGTTCGCAAAAGCTCGAGTTCTGCTCTTTCATGTGAAAATATTTTAAAATTAGCTACTTTTATTCCAAATATATTTGAGGTGAATTATAATATTGTTAGGCCGAAAGAAAATGTAAAGACTTTATTGTAGATCATATGAAAACTCATAAGAATTTCTATTCATGTCTATTTTGTATTTATACTTTATTATGATGTATTATATTTGATTTCTGTAAATAAGTAGGCCCCCGCTCATATTATGAGCTAGATCCGCCCCTGTCTATTAAACAAGCTGAACCGAGTTTGTTCGCAAAGAGTTCATTTTTTTTTTTATGAATTTTAAATAGAACAGTTGAGTCGAACTTGTTTGTGAATTGTTTATTTGAAATTTGAAATTTTTAAAGAGTCAAATCAAACTTTAATGAGTTTAAACAAGTCGAGCCTACGCCAAGCCTTTTGCTCGTCTATTTGTGTATGTTTGTTAAATCTAGTTGAAAAATTAGTTGAGAGCCGATAGCTTATAATTAAATTTTGATCTTATAGATTATAGTTCATGACTGTTGATATGACAAAAATACTTTATAAAATAAGCTGATAAATCAACTTACATAAAAAAATTAGACGAGCATTTTTTAAAAGCTACATAGTTAAGCTTATTAGACAAGCTCCAACTTTAAAAAAGAAAAAAAAAAATCATTTTACTTTTACAAAATCAAACTCATTTAAATACAAAAGGTATATAAGCTAACTTATGCCGCTTAATAAACAACACTAAATAGAAACAAGTTTGAATATGAAATACTCAACTCGACTTGAATAATATTTTGAATCCTACTCCATCACGTCACAGTGCAAGAAACTAAAAAATAAAAATATATGTCTTCTTAATATTTATGCCCATAAGTCCATCTCTTCTTAAACCTGACACATTTTTTTCTCCAACCAATGGTTCAGTTATACTTTATAACAAGTAACAACCATCTCCCCTTTTTGGGCTCAATATATGCTGATTTTACGGTTCATTCATACATCTTTCTTAAAACCTCGTCCTCTGTATCATCTCAGTCAATCAGAATCAGTTGCAGTTTTTCAGAGTCATTTGTTGTTTAGTGCCAGCAAAAACAAACAAAAAAAAAAAAAAATTATTAAAGATAATGCCACTCTTTTTCACGCCCTTCAAGATTTTTCCATTTCTTTAACTATTTATCCCATCAATAGATTTCTATTTTCACCATATTGTGCAGTGTAATAAAGAAAGCATTGATATTGTTGCCTTTAGTTTATTTTATGTGTATCATTTTTATCCACAGGCCACACACAAAAGATACCTTGCTCTATGCTCTATTCTACAATTCCCTTATAAGAGCTCTCGTTTGAAGTGATTTCACCTTTCAGCTCTTTTTCCCGCTCCTTCTCTGTCAAAGTAGAAAAAAAAAAAATTGAATCTTTAATGATGGGCTAGTTTTTTATTTTATTCTATTTTATTTATTTTGTTTTGTTTTGTTTTGTTTTTTGGCTTTGTACAGGTTATATTTAACCATTTTTTGATAGGATTGTATTTAGCTTGAGATTTCTTTAACATTCTTTGTTGATGGGAAAGTAAGAGCAGATGCAGAAAAGAGTTGGGGACAATAACAATATTAACTCAAGAAAAACACTTTTGCATCCTCATAAAAATGTGAGTAGATCTTTATTCTTTATAAGTTTAGTGTAAGAAAAAAAAAAAATCAGTTCTAGAAGAAAACTGGTTGTGCCCTGGTTACAAATCTTTATTCTTGATCCATTTTATCCCTTTTCTTTATTGTGTTTCTTTTTCAAGAATGATGAATAGACTTGAATTTATCATGACCATATATTGTGGATTGTTCTTTTTTCAAGAAGAATACAGTCTTTGGATTTATGATGGCCATATATTGTGGGTTGTGAACTGTCACTGATAAAGTTGGTCCCTTTATAGCAAAAATCTGTGTTTGGGCACCTTTTATGCATACTCAAGAAATGAATCTAAATTTATCTACCTTCAATTTTTCCTTTTATTTTCCATTTCCCCATTCTGTGTAATTAATTTGAGTATTTGCAGGGAAAAAAGATGGAAGTGCAGGGAATCAAACCACAAACTGAAGAGAAAAAAACAATGGCCAACAGTCGCCAATCGGCAAAAGAACGAAAAATGGCCTTATTACAAGATGTACTCTAATTTTCTTCAGCACACTTTGATTGATTCTGTTCTGATTTTCTTTCTTTGTTTTAAAAACTGTTTCTTTTTTGTAATTTTACAGGTTGATAATCTAAAGAAGAAACTAAAACATGAAGAAAATGTCCACAGAGCTTTGCAAAGGGCTTTCACTAGACCTTTAGGAGCTCTGCCTCGTCTCCCTCCTTATCTCCCTCAATATGTAAGCTATAAATTTCTTGTTTTCAATCTCATACTGTTCGAATTTGTTGTATAATTCTCTGTTTGGCAATGTGATATTTTGTAGACACTCGAGCTTCTAGCTGAGGTGGCCGTTTTAGAAGAGGAAGTCGTACGTTTAGAAGAACAGATTGTGAATTTGGAAAATGCAAATAACGAGCTGTCGATAGGTAGCTTTAAACGAGGCCACTCAAGATCTTCATCTCTAAGTGATGCTAATTTTGGATCAATCCAAACGAGGCCTTACCGTTCGCCTTCACCTTCTCTCTCGAGAGTTGCTTCAATCAGAAAGATTTTGTTTTCCGAGCATTTTCCTGAGAGCCCACCGATTAATAAATGGAGTGCGAATTCTTGCAAGGAAATCAAACCGAATGCCGGAAAGAAATCATTGGAAATGAAAAACACTGTCAAAAGACGTACGAATCCTCCGAAAATGCAGGTTCTTTTTTTTAGACTTTCTAGCATTGTTATTTATACACTCACATATATATATAATGAATTTTCGGATTGAGTTAAAAGGTGATGATACTTTTGTACAGTGTAGAATTGTAGAACAAGCGCAAGAGACATCTTCGAGTTCATCAGATGGTAGAGTTGTTGATTCCAATAGTGAGGCGAATATATTGTCTGAGGATATCTTGAACTGTCTCATCAATATCTTTGTGAGATTGAGCTCGTCGAAAGGGAAGAAAATGGAATCGGAATCTTTTTCATCTGCATTCAGTGAGAAGAATAACGAGGAATCGAACTTCCGGGATTCAAATTGCAATTTGTCAGAGTCCAAGAAGAGAGATATTGGAACTGAAAAATATCTGTATGTAATAGAAGCTCGATCGATTGATATTAAACGGAAAACGAATGCGTCGTTTTTGATCCAGAGGCTTAAGTAAGTGCGACTTGTTTTGTTTGTATAATTCGCATTATAGATTTTAGTTTTGCTACTTTATTTTATTTTTCATTTTCAAAATTCAGGATTCTTCTAGACAGGCTATCATCTGTGAGGTTAGATGGTCTAAGCCATCATCAGAAGCTTGCATTCTGGATAAACATATACAATGCCTCCATTATGAAGGTGAGCAGCTTCAGAAAGATTCTTCTTTTTGTAGTAAAAGAAGGGCCCTTTAATTCTTTACCAAAACTAATTACTGCAATATTGTTTTCTGTGTAACTTATTTTCAGGCTTACTTGGATCATGGAATACCCGAAAGTCCTGAGGAAATCGTCCATCAAATGCAAACGGTAAGGCTTTCCATCACTTTATTGTTGTTCTTTCATTATTAAAAGTTATTAAATAGTAATTCTTTTTTATGTACTTAGTCCGCTTCAAATTAGTCGATAAGCTACTATAATCACTTGGAAATCCTCAATTGACAAACTAATTTATATAATCTATGAGCACGAAATTGCATAAAAAAATATTCAAAAAATCGTTCTTCTACAGGCAAGAATAAATGCTGGTGGACATAAGCTAAATGCAGTTATGATCGAGCACCTTATCCTGAGACTTCCAAATCACTTGAAATACGTAAGTTGCTTCCTTATTTTTCATTCATATGCAAAATTTATCACTTGAAATGTTTTATCTATTATTTACGCACATATTGTGTTTTTCGCGATTATCATTTGTAGACTTGCTTAAAATCAGCGAAAAATGACGAAAGGACAATATGCAAAACACTCGGTTTGGATTGGTTCGAACCTCTCGTCACATTTGCACTATCCTGTGGAAGCTGGTCTTCTCCAGCTGTAAGTTCTTGTTTTATGGAGAAAAAATGCATTTAGGAACATTAGCTAAAATTCAAATGTGCTGCTTTTGATCTTAAAATGTATAGTTTATCTCATTTTAGGTGAGAGTGTACACTGCATCTCAAATAGAAACGGAGTTAGAAGCAGCCAAAAGGGAGTATTTACAAGGGGCGATTTTCGTTTCATCTTCAGACAAGATAGTCATTCCTAAGTTGCTCGATTGGTACCTTTTTGATTTTACAAAGGATTTGGATTCGTTGCTCGACTGGCTTTGTTTGCAGCTGCCAGATGATATTCGAGACGGAGCTGTAAAATGCGTTGAGAGAAGGATAAAAGAGCCTCTGTCAAACTTGGTGCAAGTGATGCCATATAATTTTAGTTTCAGGTACCTTATATACAGGTGAAAGGTTTTGGTGATAATGCAGGATTGTACAATGTACACTGTTTTTTTCTTTTTTTTTTATAATAAAATTTATACATAGAATTTATTTCATTTAATGTTGTGGCAATAATGTAGGATTTTTTGCTTTGGGGGGGTGATTGGATTGTGGTTGAATGTATTTTGAAGAGTGTAAATTCTGCTGATGAAAATTACTTTTCTTTGGTGCTGCCTGTCATATTCTTGCTTTCCATGAGTTACATTTTTTATGAAATTAAAGGTTTGAATGAATTGTATTAAAATTATCAGAATAGAAATAAATGTGAGTCCTCCAATAACATGAGATACATGTCAACCAGCTCAAATGCGCCTGTGGAAGCTAGTTTTTACTATACTCTGAGGTACTCAGTAGAAAAGTTTAGTTTTGGATACTTCATACATACGCTGCTGAATTTGACTTTGAGGTATTCAGGTAATACAGGATTGTATACTATTTTTATTTTTTCGATGACCATTGTCCAAAATCGACCTGCTATATTGTTCCCTCGTCAAAATTAGAACATTAAACCAATGTTTTAAATATTGTACTGTCGGTAATATCAGATATCGGTCGTCCGTTCGGTACGATTATTTTCTAATATAATTTTGGCAAAAATACAAATTTATACCGGTTTCATACCAGAAATCAGATATTTTACCGAAAAATACCGGCCAAAATATCGAGTATAACTGCTTTTTTTTTAAGAAAAAAATTTATTAATTTATTATATAAATTGAGAGATATGAACTTAATTATAATATGTGCATTGTTATTAGCTTTTAATTAATTCTAGTATTTACTAAAGTTAGTTTTATACAGACTTTATATTATAATAATAAATTAATTTGATATTGAAATCTGCAAAAATAGACGTTAAAAGCGGTTAATACGGTTGAACCGCGTATTCGCGGCTCGTCTGAAATGATTATCGGTACGGTATGACAGCCGACTCAAGCAGCTACTTAGCTGAATCCAGATAGAGGCCTACACATCGAAGACAACAGTAACATAGAAACAACTATACTAAATGCACCCACAAGACTAATAACATAGAATACCAAACTTGCACAAGTGAGGAATACTACCTCAAAAAAAATAATAATAATAAAATAAAATAAAAAACACAACAAAAACTAAGCACAATAGACACTAGAATAAAGCTCTCTCCATGCCCGGCAAGTCACTCCGAATTAACACAACGAAACTGACACCTGAGGGCGACCACACACACGGACAGAGACACGACAGTTGTAGATCCAAAAACTGTAATATTTATAAGCGTAACTAAATTTGGACCAGACGGACAGCACTAAGGCGCTAATGAGCACCCAACTGAGATGAGGCCCCGGGAAGGAAACGAGACGCGGGTTTGCTGTTCACGAAGGATTTGGGGGAATTACTGTTCAACGTCTTCTTCTTTTTT